GGCGGTGAGTGAACTTCGTATAGTATCTATTTTTGGGGTGGGCAACTGGGGCATTGAATCGAATAAATTTTTACATGCATTTACTGTACATAGATCGACGTGCGTGGTGTGGAACAGTGCTTCGCGTCGTCCATCCCTCTGGTAACTGACTGATAAACGGCTTCATTCATGGTGTCGTCGCGTAGGGCCGTTCTTTAGATGGTGCTACCATTTGATCTATGTTAGACGTCATAGGCGGTGCTGCTCGATGTCTGCTTTTGTGGTGTACCATTGGAACAGCGTTCACCCGACCGAGGCAAGGTACATGGTACAGGTGGCATATTCGGACCGAAACACTGTTTTTGTTGAATTTCGCCTCTGTGTCTCCTGTTAGCCGGTTTCTCTGTTATTCACTGGACTTGTCTTTATGGATGCTCAGCAGTGATGTTGTCTCGTTGAAACTGGTTTTAATTCATGGCTTGTTATTGCAAATGAAAAATTGGAAAATTTACTTCCTATCTATTCTAGTTTATTTCCACCACCTACATATATTGTCGGGTATTGTTGAGATTGAACTGTCCTGCATACCAAGCGGTTTCACATCTCATTGAATGGCTGGGCCAAGTAGTGCTTGATACATAGAATTTCACTTAATACGAAGGCATCATTTGTAGACACTTATCAGCTCTAGACGGAGGATGAGCGAACGACTTGTGTAGTGTTTCTTCAATTAGTGTACGAAGATTGTGTTTGGTAAACTGTGTACCGTAGGAAGTCGGTTAAGCGTGGTCTGTCAGACGGTCTTGCCTTCAGATGAACTTCACGACCTTGACCCTGGTGATTTTCAGTCGATATCGTTGAAGGGCTTTTTGTCCATTTTGACGCGGCATTTCCGGTTTTACTTCTACCTTTATTACGGCAATAAATTTGGGTCAGTCATCGGCGTTTTGGAGTTTGTGGCTAGTTGTTCGATGTTCGATGGCGACGATCGTCTTGCCAGTCATCGGTGTCGTGATGCTAAGTTCGTTTTGTGGAGGCGGTAGGCAGTTCGGTTGATCGGTTCTGTTCATTGATGCCTGTTTTCGTTTTATAGGCAAAATCGACGCTGGACATCGAGCAACGGGGCAATGGAACGGGAACCGACGGATGCGATGACGATGCCCACAATTCCGTCATGAGGATGAACGAGGGGCGGCGAGGCAGCCACACTAATGTCGTCGAGTCCGTGACTGTGACAAACGGTCAATGTAGTAACCAGTCTAACCTTCACCTGCCGGTGACTGTGACCATGCATAAGAAGCGGGCGGCGCCGAAGCCGCCATGCGATTTTGTACCTCCAAAAGTAGACCTGTCGTCAACAACAGCGATTACGACCACCACAATGTCCACGCCGAAATTCAGCACGCCAACCGCCACCAAAGATGACCAAGTGGCATTGGAGCATGGCGTCGCCGTTCACATGGATGACTCGTGTTATGGCAGTGAGGAGCCAAGCCCGGCCAGCCAGGATTCGGCTGCCATTAAAACACACCCAGTTGTGGTGGCCCCCTTCACTGTAATGTCGTCAACAACCAGTAAAAAAACGGCGGTTGCCGACGAGGTCGACTCGGCTTCGCAGCTGCTTACTCGGCCAGCACGTAAGTCGAAGAGGAGGGCTCCAATGCCCCCTCTGACGCTGCCTGTCGAAGAGCCCGATGACGGTAATGAATCTTAAAGAACTTTTTATGACAGTGCGTACAGACGTAACGTTTAGCTCGTATTTTGTTAGTCATATTGAAAAAGCAGCACAAAAAAACAAAACAATTTTCTTCCACATCGGTACGTAATCGATCCCTAACCGGTAGTGATTATCAACGCATAGATCACTGTAATGCGTTGTTTTATGTTTTTTGCTGTTTTTCCATTATGATAATGTGATTGTCAGGATGAGAAGCAATTCGTAACGAATATTGTACATAAAATTCCTTTTTTACTGATAAAAGTTATTTAACAGTAGCGAAGACGACATCCTGTGTTTTACAAGTGTTTTCCACGTTGTGAATGAGTGACCGACCTGAAACAGACTTACCAGAAATACGTTAACTTTCTGTTCTGCTGTTCATGATAAACAAACAACACGATAAGCTCATGGCAGTGGCTGAGCAGACGACGCTCTAACATTATTCCCTTAACATTGCTATACTTAGGACTTTAAGACGTTGTCGCTCTATACGATTGGGAACGGAAGTTGGACTCGAGGACCGGTTCTTAGCCAGTATCGGTCTCTTACCCGAAAGACTACCATATATTAAAACCCTTTTGCGGTTTTTCATACGATAATATGACGCTCTGAATAAGAAGCCACTTGTAAACAAAAGTGTACGTGATATTCTGGGTTTGCTAACAGACGGCTAGTTTTTGATAATGACGGTTAGAATATAGCATGCGCGCGGGTCTGGTATCTTCTTTATGAGCGTAGTCGATTATCATCCTGTATCTAGTGGAAGAACTTATGTAGGAAACGCGTTAGGGCAAACTGTTATGCCTGTTATCTGTCAGTCTCTATTTATGGTATTACTCATTATGATGCGACTCTAGTAACGGAATGCTATTAAAACTGCACTCTAGGATAAGCAGCATCTAACAGTGTATGTAAGGAATAACAAGTAAAAGTAGGAAGATGAACGAACGGGTAGGAGTCCACACAGGAGTCTGTGATGTAATTGTACGAGTGAAGAAGTTCACGTAGCAATGGCCAAGGTACGTTGTAGAAGCACCGACCATCGCCGCTTGACCACTGGTACATTAGACTTGGTTGCAAGAGAGGGTTCCACAGCAAGATCTCCAGATCTGTGACAACATCAGCTGGATCAAGATGGATAAGAATAGCATATTCGTAGCAAAGCTGGATACGGCGGTCATCATTTATAAGTGGATCGAAGAAGGCTAATGACCATCCAGCTGTGCGAAATCGATCGCGTCGGTATTTTGTACATTTAGATAAGTGATGCGCAATTGGATATATTAATTGATCGTTTGTGTGAATAACATTTATTCTTTTGCGTTTCTTTATTCACGGTTGCTTCTCTCCCATTGATTCCCAAAGATTCTAAAAGATAAAGCGGCACCTGCCGGATGAAATTTTTCAGTTAACTATAAATTGGTCAGAAATTGCGACGAGTGACTGATGATTTGACGAAGAGCTGAAAATGTGGAGGCA